AGCCTCACCAGAACCTGAGCCTCATCTTTGACTCTTCCTCCTCCCTCGTTCCCTGCAGCCATCAATCCGCAGCTTTGGTCTGTTCTGCCTCCTAAGTATTTCTGGAATCCAGCCCCTGCCCCTTCCTCCGCCAGACCACCAGTGTACCGCATCTGGGGTTCAGCTTTGCGTTAGTCCTGGCCGCCAGCCTGTCCAGCATTCTATAGCCAGCGTGTTTTTTCAGTATGCAAAATACCTTAAGCATACTGAAAAGTATAGAGAAATACATACTAGCATCCAAGCACTCACCACAGCTTTGTCAAGCCTTCATGCGTGCCCCTATTTCCCCCCAATTCCTTTTTCTCTAATAGAACACCACAGGTGATTGAAACCCCCTGTGTGGGCCCCCTTCCCAGCCCATTCTTCTTCCCCTGTCCTCAGAGGTAACCAGATCTCTGATTTTCTAATTTCTCATCCACATGTTTGTTTTTATTGCTTTGGCAACATACTACATATCCATAAACTACTAATAGTATTGTACATGTTCTTTTGTGACTTACTTTTTCTGACCAATATTTTTAAAAACCTTTTTATTATGGAAAATGTCAAATATATACAAAAATAGAGAGAATAGACTATTGAATGCCCATTGCTCATCACCTAATTCCAGCAATTATCAACTCATAGTCAATCCCCCAGACCTCCCACCTCTGTCATTTTGAAGCAAATTATATATTTTTATCCATAAGTATTTCAGCCTGTAACTCTAAAAGAGAAGAGCTCTTTTTAATATAGTCGCAATACCATTGTCACACCTAGTGAAAATTTGATAGTAATTCCTTAATATTAAATGTCCAGTTGATGTTAAAAATTACCCCCATTATTGCACGAATGCCTTTTGGACAGTTGGTTTGTTCTCATCAGAGTCCAAACAAGGTCCTCACACTGCATTTGGTTGCTATGTTTCTCAAGTTGCAGACCTTATTATGCTGATCAAAATAAGCCAAACATAAGGACAACATACTGCATGATTCCACAGATGTGTTTAAAAACAGGCAAAATGAATCTTTGGTGATAGAAGTCACAGTTCTGATTTCTTTGGTGGTAGGGGCGGAAGGCCCTTCTAGGGTTCTAGAAATGTATCATCCCCTCTTCACATATGACTAGAATCCTGCCATAAAGAAAAGGACTTCATAAAGAGAATATTCCCTTCATCATCGATTTGGTCCCTATGTGGTTGTTTAAAAAAAGCTAGTTAAATGCTCAATTCTTGATTACAGTTTTCAGAATAATGAGTTGGTTCTCCAGCATCCTCCTAAAGTGACCTGTACTGTTGTTATAATCATTATGAATGCATGGATTTTTAACATGTTTGATATGTTTTAATCCTTTGCACTTATTCTTACTGATGTTCAAAGTGTCTTTGGACAGCAGGAGCCTCTTCAAGTTGGCACCTGAGTCCTTTTGCCATCAGCATTAGGTTTTGGAGAGGTGCTCCTGATAGCTCTGATGTGGTCCATTCATTTCAACTTGTATGCTGTTGCACCATGTGCTGAGTGACCTTTCCAAAATATAGACATAAAGTTCTCTCTTTGCTTCTTAAAATCCTTCAATGGATGAAGTCCACACTTTTTTTTCAGGGTTTACTGGGCACTTATTTTTACTTCTCCAGGTCAATCTTTCCCTCCCCATCTTGAACTCAGATCATTCATATACTAACCTTTCTTGAGTATACTGAACATGCTACACCCACCCATTGTCTTTTCCCAGGCTGTTCCCTCTACCTGTAATACTCCCTCACCTTCCCCCACCTGCCTTGGCCTGGCTATCTTCTGTTTCTACCTCTGGTCTCATTTTAGCCACCCTTTCCTTCTGGAAACCTTTTCTGTTTCCACCTCCCTCTTCTAATGCTGGCTTGGTGGCCCTTCCCAACAGAGGCATATTTGGGGAAAGGCCAGCAGGACAGTTCCCAGAACACCAATCTATCACTGAAAATGTCAGGAGATGAGCAAAGTGCTCAGGGAGTGTCCCATGGGTGGTGGAACACTCACTTCGATAAACCCCTGGGGACTGGTGCTCACACCGCCTTCTAAACAGGGAGGGTCACAGGGCTTCTCTTCTGCTGAGCGGGGCCTGTGAGTTAGGAGCAGCTGGCATCGCTCTGGACCATGCCGGAGGAGGCAGCAGCGCCTGGCAGGCCTCCTGCCCCACTGGTACCCTCTGCAGCCTCTGCTGGAGGGAGATCTCAGCAAATGCTGAACAAACACCAGAGAGCACCAAGTTGAAGATATTACCCCACAGCGTCTGTCCAGCCCCAGCCCCAGTCACAAGATAAGGCTTATCACTGGGTGTCGTAACTGACTATTTACTTGTCTGTCTGTTCTGCCTCCACATCGCCCCGAGTTGTAGGCTTCGCCAGAGCAGGGTCTGCCTGGCTTATCTCCTGCTCTGTCCCAAGCAGTTAGCATAGTTCCTGGCTGGTATGTGGTTCTTGGTACATTCTTGTTGAACAGGATCATCGTTGCCTTGGGAAACATCTCAAAATGCACCCCTCCCCCTCCTACAGACGTGAAGTTCTCTCTGCTTCTTAAAAATCCTTCAGTGGATGAAGTCCACACTCCTTCTCAGGGTTCACTGGGCACTTTTTTTACTTCCCCAGGTCGATCTCTCCCTCCCCATCTTGAACTCAGGTCATCCATACTAAACGTTCTTGAGCATGCGGAACATGCCACACACACCCATGGTCTTTTCCAAGGCTGTTCCCTGTAGCGATTCTCAACCCTGGAATCATCCGCGGGGGAGGGGGGTGTGGCAAAACTCAGGTGCCAGGGACCACTTCAGACCTGCCTATTAATCCAGATCTCTGGGGATCGAGTCTGCCAGGTGTCCTTTTAAAACGTTCCTCGCGTGATTCCAACACGAGTCAAGACTGAGAACCCCCGGTCCAGTTGCTCGTGGCCCATACCAACCCAGGAGGAGCAAGCGGCGGGACGGCAGGTGCTGCCGGCCTCGGCCCCTCGACCTCGGCCTAGGGCCTCTGCTCAGCGCAGGAACCTGGCGGGGGCTGGCGGGCAGCAGGGGCGGCGGCCCGCGCCGCGCTGCAGTGCGGTGAACCGAGCCCCCCACTGCAGTTCGAGGAGATCCACGAGGTGATGGGCCGCTACAAGACGCTGGTGAGCATGCACTACGACCTCATGCAGTCGGCGCAGGAGGGCCAGGAGAAGATCGAGCGCGCCAAGGCGCGGCTGGCGCGCTACATGGAGGAGAAGGACGACGAGGTGCTGCAGCACAACAACGAGCTGGCGCGCCTGCAGATGCGCTTCGACCGCGCGCGCAGCGACGTCATCGTCTGGGTGAGCGCGCCCCCGGGATGGGGAGGGGCGCCCCCGGGATGGGGAGGGGCGCCCGCACACGGGGGCGCGCGCGCACTCTAGCGGAG